TTCCTTTGCTGGAATGTCATAATGTCACAAATCCAGCTGAAAATTGAGCAGAACTTACTACTTTCTGCAGTGGTTTGGAAAATGGTCTTGGTAGAGCAGGAAAGATGGGTGATATCTTGGTTAAGCTAGACAGAAGCTGGACTGCAGACAATATTAGAAGTGGGTTGCTAATTCATTTAATTGGTTGTTAATTTGGAGAAGAGGGATGCGGGTGGCACTGTGGGTTAAACCACAGAGCCTAGGACTTGCCGGTCAGCGGTTCGAATCCCTGCGACGGGGTGAGCTCCTGTTGCTCGGTCCCTGCTCCTGCCAACCTAGCAGTTTGAAAGCACGTCAAAGTGCAAGTAGATAAATAGGTACTGCTCTGGTGGGAAGGTAAATGGCGTTTCCGTGCGCTGCTCTAGTTCGCCAGAAGTGGCTTAGTCATGACCCGGTAGCTGTACGCCGGCTCCCTTGGCCAATAAAGCAAGATGAGCGCCGCAACCCCAGAGTCAGTCACAACTGGACCTAATGGTCAGGGGTCCCTTTACCTTTTTTTTTATTTGGGGAAAACAGGCAGAGCATTTGTTTTGCAGGCAGAAGGTCTCTGGTTCAATCCCCAGTATCGCCAGGTAGGGCTGGGAATGTCCTTCTGAAACCCTGGAGAGCTGCTTCCAGTTAGTGTAGATAATAATGAGCTGGATGGACTAATAGTCTGACTCTGTATATGGCAGCTTCCCATGATACTAGTCCTCAGTGGTTCATCTGAACATTATGTTTTTGCCATATGTTGGCAATGCATCTGTTACAGGAAAATCTAGGTGCGAGGCTGCTCAGTCACCCAGCTCGTTGGGCAGAGCCCACGGGTCCCTGAGGAATAAAGGAAGGAGTCCAGCCACCAACTGGAGCAAATAGCTGTAGACCGAAATTTATTGCGCCACAGGTTCAAAGAGGAATTTTGAACCCCGAGGATGGGGTGACAAGGACTTTTAAAACTTTCCCACCATATCCCAGAATACAGTTCGTACAGCATCATTGCTACATCATTGCTACATCACTGACATGTCACAAAAAGGGGGGGGTTTAAACAGGGGTTACACTAGTTAAACCTTGGCAAACATGTCCAGACAAGTCCTTGGTACAAGATTAGCATAAGCAGACATGTCAGGGCAAGACCCAGGTACAGTGGTACCTCGGGTTACATACAATTCAGGTTACATATGCTTCAGGTCACAGACTCAGCTAACCCAGAAATAGTACCTCGGATTACGAACTTTGCTTCAGGATGAGAACAGAAACCGTGCTCTGGCGGCACGGCGGCAGCAGGAGGCCCCGTTAGCTAAATGGTGCTTTAGGTTAAGAACAGTTTCAGGTTAAGAACGGACCTCCGGAATGAATTAAATACTTAACCCGAGGTACCACTGTACTGGTTTTGGTTCAGGAGGCAGCTGTGTTCCATCAGGATAAGCTTAGGTTTTATACCAAATGCATGTGACTTTTCCTAGAGGGAGCTGTTCCGGTTGAGATAGCCCAACCCTGAAATGTTTCTAAGGATTGGTTCCCAATGGAAATCTCCTGCAACGAAAGGGGTTATTTGACTGAATTTAAGTATATTAAACTTGCATAGCAGTGATGAGCTGAAGTTTCTCATGTGTGCGTGTGCTGAATCTAACTTCTGTTGGGCAAACCCCCTGGGAAAACAGTTCTAAAAACTTCTTAGCCAGTTCCAAACTTACATTGCCCCACCCCCTTCTCTTTCCCTTCCAGTTATCATCTGGCAGCGGTAACTAGGAATACTCACAACATCCCCTGCCCCTGAGTGCCTGCGGTGCTGCTCTAGTAGAACCATAAGCACACAGACGTTGGGAAATGCAATCTTCCCAGGGCACGCGAGTGCTCACTCTGATCAACAGGCGCCCTGGGAATTACGTGTTCCAGGGCTCCTTGCATGTTGCATGTTGTAATGTGAATGCTCAGGAACAATGAGCCCTGGGGCATGTGGTCTCTGAGGGCTCATCCAGATTTCTGCTCGTCCTGTCACTTTCCCCGGGGAAATGTTATGTATTAAGAGTAGCTGCAGTTCTCACTCAGGTCCACCAGTATGCAAATGAAGGACTGAGAACTTCAGCTCACTGATTGGTTAGCTAGTTGGGAGTTGTTATTGTTACAAGTTACTTAGTATTATAGGGGGACGCGGGTGGCGCTGTGGGTAAAACCTCAGCGCCTAGGACTTGCCGATCGCATGGTCGGCGGTTCGAATCCCCGCGGCGGGGTGCGCTCCCGTCGTTCGGTCCCAGCGCCTGCCAACTTAGCAGTTCGAAAGCACCCCCGGGTGCAAGTAGATAAATAGGGACCGCTTACCAGCGGGAAGGTAAACGGCGTTCCGTGTGCTGCGCTGGCTTGCCAGATGCAGCTTGTCACGCTGGCCACGTGACCCGGAAGTGTCTGCGGACAGCGCTGGCTTCCGGCCTATAGAGTGAGATGAGCGCACAACCCTAGAGTCTGTCAAGACTGGCCCGTACGGGCAGGGGTACCTTTACCTTTTTACTTAGTATTATATAAAGCAGCCATATACATATGCAACTCTGTCTGTCTCCAGGAGCAGTTCGAACTGCTGTAATAAAGAGTTGTGAATCTAACAGAGCTGTGTCCTTCATCCATCATTCCCTCTATTTAACAGGAAACCCCTTCCTTAAGGCTGAATCAGAGCAAGCATCAATCGGATTTCCCCCAGATTGATGCTTGCTCCAATTCAGTGCTACAGAGCAGTTTTCCCAAAGGAAGTGGCAGGGACAAGTGGGAAACTGCTTGATCCCGTGCCTTCTAGGCACAGGAGAAGCAGAAGTATGGGTAAGCCTTAAGATGCCTGTTGCAAATACTAAGCCAGACATAGACAAACTCCAGCCCTCCAGATGTTTGGGACTACAGTTCCCATCATCCCTAGCTAACAGGACCAGTGTCAGGGATGATGAGAATTGTAGTTCCAAACATCTGGAGGGCTGGAGTTTGCCTATGCCTGTACTAAGCTCTTGGAAGCCCTATAAAACAACATTCCCAAGTGTCCCTGGCATTAAGATGTTACCAGTGCAACACTGAAGACACCAGAGAAAGAAAGACTCATTCCCTGTATGGGGCAGCTGCATATTCCTGCATTGCAGGGGTTGAACTAGATGGTCCTCACGGTCCCTTCCAGCTCTACAATTTTGTAATTCTTTGATTCCAAATTCTAAGTGCAAGAACTTTTTTTGGGTGGGGGAGGGAGGGAATTCTGCTAGATTTGTAACACAGCTGAGCAGGAAAAGTTCATATGCTGAGAAATGTAACTGTGAACTCAGGTGACAGCATTATTTCTAACCTTTAACACTTTCAGAGTTCAGAAAATTACATTCCCTTTCATTGTCTGCAGCCTCTGCAGGTCTGCCTGCCCTATCAGTCCATCATGAGGCACATAAGACACATTGTGGTGCTCCTGGGGAAGGCTGCCATAAGTTATGCAGCAGAAGTATTTTCTAGTCCTTGCTTCTAGAGAGCTTCTGCCACTTGGGGGGTACCCAGCAGTGGGCAAGATCCACCAGCAACCTGACTTAGGGCTCATCCAGTCTTGTTGCTTTCTCCCAGGGAAACACACTATTTACCGCTGAATCAGAGCAAATGTCAATGGGGTTTTCTCCCATATTGTTACAAAGGTTTCTTGTCACCCGCAATCTCTGCCAAGCAGCAGCAAGATTCCGGGGGCTCCATGCACTCAGCAAGGGTTGTCGTTTCCATTTGGAAAACTGAGGCACAGCGGAGGCTAGTTCCTTTAAGAAATATGGGGTTTATTTTAAACATATTTGCACCTAAAGTCTTCAGTAGAGGGAGTGCAGAACATTATACCCCAATAATGTCTCTCCTTGTCCCTCTCATAGCTTCAGCAAGCTTGGCTCCAGAGCTGCAGTCAGTCATGGCACCTGGTCTCTCGGTGCAGCCTCTCCAGCTAGAGCTACTTTTGCCCACTTCCTCCTCCTTGTTCTCAGAACATCTTTAGATTTCAAAAAGGACACCTGCTTTTGTGACATCATGACCCCTGTCATCTTGGCAACCTCCCAGATCTCCTGGTTTTGTCCACTCCTCAGAGTGGTAGCTTTCTGCATTGCCAAATGCCCTTTTAATGGCCCAGTGTTTCCCAATGGCTTTGCACTTAGCTAGCCTGGCCAGGCTGGTTTGCATAAGCTAACCCAGGAATTCCTAGTCTGGCACAGTTCTGCAGCTTGCATTTCCCCCCACATGTGCCAAATGTTATCTAAATACTAAAAGGTAAAGTTAAAGGTACCCCTGACCATTAGTTCCAGTTGTGGCCGACTCTGGGGTTGCTGCGCTCATCTCGCTTTATTGGCCGAGGGAGCCGGTGTACAGCTTCCGGGTCATGTGGCCAGCATGACTAAGCCGCTTCTGGCGAACCAGAGCAGCGCACGGAGACGCCGTTTACCTTCCCGCCGGAACGGTACCTATTTCTCTACTTGCACTTTGACGTGCTTTCGAACTGCTAGGTTGGCAGGAGCAGGGACTGAGCAACGGGAGCTCACCCCGTCGTGGGGATTCGAACCGTCGACCTTCTGATCGGCAAGCCCTAGGCTCTGTGGTTTAGACTGCTGTTTATTAATTTCAATTTTTCATTAACAGACTCTGGTACTCTAGATCTATGGCATTACCAGCTTCTTACAGAAGACCAGAAACCGTCACTGACTGCTGATTTGGAGTTAAGCTTGCTGAAGTTATGGGAGGGGCAACAAAGACACTATTGGGGCATAATGTTCTGCACCCCCTCCATGGAAGACTTCAGATGTTAAATATGTGTAAAATAAACCCCATATTTCTTAAAGACATTAGATTTTGCTGTGCCTCGATTTTCCCAGCAGAAACACAACCCTGGGTGAGTGCATGGAACCCCTGGAATCTTGCTACTGCAGAACATTCATGACCACATGGTCATTCCAGACTCTCATTTGAGCAGAATTTATAGAGAGTGTTGTCAGTGCCAAATGGATTGCTGTAGCAAACCTTCATCGTTATGTCAGCTTCTTGTGAATGCTCCTTGTCTGCTGCCTTCAGTCATTCTGATGGTGATGGATGGCAAGTGATCCCATGAATTTAATGGTTGCCTCTCAAGTGACAAGTACTTCTTCAGTGCCCGTTCGTGTTTCACTTCAGTGCTATGTACTAGGAAATCCCACAAATCCCTGACTCAATGCCAGTCTCACTTTTCTCAGTGTCCGTTGACAGATTGCAGTGTTTGAATAAGAAAGAGCATTATCTTCAAGTGGTTGTGAATCTCTGCTTCTCATTTGCCCTCTGCCAGGTTAAACATTTGCAGTGTTACACTAGATGCTGTCAGGGGTTTCCTCTGCCTTGAACAGGGAACTGTGAGGTCCGAGGTTGAGGTCTTTGTTTGGTGAGTTCTGCCAAAGGCTCAGACCTCTGTGTCCTCATCATTGTGGAACAGCCTCTGTGATTGATTGGGAGGCAGAATGAAGCCTCTGGATTGGTCAGGCCTAGGATAAATACTTGAAGAATTGTATTCTGCCTCTGCAACAGAACAGTATCTTGTGCCTGCTCTACTTGTGGCTACCAGATTGGAAAATTTGACAGATTTGCCTATCCTTTTGATAGTGACATAGACCAGAGCCCTAGAAAGTCCTCAAATGCCACCTCCCAGGTCATTGAGCCCAGGGCATTGAGCAGGAATGAATGAATGAATCTTTCTTTGTGTCAGCCATCGGCCATAGCAATAAAACAACAATACAATATACAAAGAATAGAAATCAAAAAGTCAATTATATAAAATACACTTCAGGGTTTTGAATCAATAGTCAAATAGTGAATCTTGTTCTGATTGCCCCAGCTAAAAAACCTTGCAGCCTTTGCTGTCACCTGCTCATCTGAGCAGGACTTTAAGGCAGAAGTCTACAGCGCCAGTCAACTGAGTGGGAGGGCCTGCTAGTGTAGCAAGCCTGACTTCTTTATTGTTTCAGACAGCACAATATGTTGGGTCTGCCCTGGAAAAGCCTAATTCTCTCTACACTCTCCTGAACTTAACTCCTCCTGAGCTGGGCTACTTCTTCTTTCACACACACCCTGGGAAGCACCATAGCTCAGTGGTAGAGCATCTTCTTTGCATTGAGAAGGTCCCTGGCCCAGTTTATGACACCTCCAGGTAGGGATGGGAGAGGCCGCTGCCTGGAACCCTGGAGAGCTGATGATCAGGGTAGATTTGGTTGAGCTAGAAGGGCCCCGTAGTCTCAGTATAAGGCAGCTTCCTACGTCCTTATCCATCTGCACACCCAACAGCACAAGATCGGAACTGTTGTGGCTTCCTTGTTGTTGTGTTCCCAAACAACGGAAGGAACTTTATAGTTCTTTCCCAGCTGAATACTTGAAATGTGTGGGCAGCAGGAAAGTGAAGATCAGTGATGGGAAGGATCTGGAGATAAATATGTTTTCTGTAAATTTTTCAAAGTTATAGTCCACAACAAGATTCTCGTGTTTATCTTTCTGGGGCTACAGGAGCATATGGCAGGCTTATTTCTGTCTGTATGCCAAATTCTATTATCTGTTTGCAGAACACTTTTATTGCCTCCCCAACCACGCTAAATATTTACTTTTCCACTTTCTTAGCTTTTACCCCCTTTGCTTTCTTAAACTCAGTTGACCTTTCTATATATTTTTATTAGCTCTTGGCCCACATTTTTCAAAACCTGTGTGTGTGTGTGTGTGTGTGTGTGTGTGTGTGTGTGTGTGTTTACAAAACTGGTATGGCTTCTAAACAACAATTTTAACTCAGAACTTATATTTTCAGATTCTTGGAATGGATCCATTTGGCAAGCCAATGGAAGGAATCAGAAATACCCAGCTGGAGTGATCTGGGTGCCCAAGGGAGTGGAGGAATTTGCAGTTGATTGAATTGATCACTTTGTATTGAGTAGAATTCTTCCCTACTCCTGCCCAAAATTACCACTACAAAGCTATATTCCCATAACAGTGCATTTCTCGTCTGGCCTCTTCATTCCACAACTTGAAAGTCAGAGAAACAAATACCGTACAATTTTTATTAGCTGCTACCGAGTTTAAACCAGTGGCTGAAGTTTAAATCTGGTGCAATTTTATGCTTCAGAACTCTTCTGTAAGCTGGTGGTGTGCCCTGAAAGCTGGTTCAGATGTTCTTTGGATATTAATATTTACACAAGCCAGGGGTTTAACTATTTCTTCATTTCTTTCCCCACCCCCCACCCAGGCAATATCTTTGTGGTCAGCCTGTCTGTGGCAGACCTGGTGGTGGCTGTCTATCCCTACCCTCTTATATTGACCGCCATCTTCCACAATGAATGGACCATGGGCGACATCCACTGCCAGATCAGCGGCTTCTTCATGGGCCTCAGCGTGATTGGCTCCATCTTCAACATCACAGCCATCGCCATCAACAGGTACTGCTACATTTGCCACAGCCTCCGGTACGACAAGCTCTTCAACCTGAAGAACACCTGCGGCTACCTTTGCCTGACGTGGCTGCTGACCCTGGTGGCTATCCTGCCAAACCTTTTCGTGGGCTCCCTGCAGTATGACCAGAGGATTTATTCATGCACTTTTGCTCAGACGGTGAGCATGTCGTACACCATCACTGTGGTGGTGGTCCATTTCATCATCCCTCTCTCCATCGTGACCTTCTGCTACCTTCGGATCTGGATCCTTGTGATCCAGGTCAAGCACCGGGTGAGGCAAGACTGCAAGCAGAAAGTGCGTACGGCTGACGTGCGGAACTTCCTGACCATGTTTGTGGTCTTCGTCCTGTTCGCAGTGTGCTGGGGGCCATTAAACTTCATCGGCCTGGCGGTCTCCATCAACCCTTCGAAGATCATCCCGCAGATTCCAGAGTGGCTTTTTGTGGTGAGCTACTTCATGGCTTACTTTAACAGCTGCCTCAATGCCGTGATATACGGCATTCTCAACCAGAATTTCCGGAAGGAGTACAAGAGAATTCTCCTTGGCCTCTGGAGTCCACGCCTGCTCTTTCTTGATGCCTCGAGAGGTGGGACAGAGGGGGTTAAAAGCAAGCCATCCCCGGCCGGAACAAACAACAACCAGGCTGAAATCTTATTGTAAATAGAAGGACTATTTATTCCGCTCTGTCCATATGCACTATGTAAAGCTCATCTTCTACATGCTATCACAAAGGCCAAATTTGCCTCGTACAAATGATTCCACCACCTTCTGTTTCATTCTCTCTCTTTTCAAACAATGGGCTTGTTATTATGCTTTGTGAGAGTTGGCTTATGGTTTCCTAGGTTCTGCAGAGAAAGAACATACACTTTTGAAGCAAGAAGCCTTCTTTGGCCACCAGCTTAAAAGGTTGCCTTGGGGCAACTGCCTTAAGCTCAGCTGGACCCTTTTATCCAGGCCAGGACTCTCTGCTCTGGCTGACCAAACTCTTCAGCATCTGGGGCCAAGAGGTCTATCCCACTCTTTCAGCGAACAATGCCTGGGATTGAACCTTCTGCGTGCAATGGATGTGCTCTGCCACTGGGTTTATCCTTTCTCAGCATTAATGCACGCACACATGTGCGTGCACGCACACACACACACACACACACACCTCATTCACATTCCCACTGAAGTCATGGATTTGTGTAAAGATTTGCAGGATGGTGCTTGCCTGTCTTGTTGTTCTCTTCAATGCTGCTTTCCACAGTGTGCCTGATCGATTTGGGATGCGTGTGCTGCACATATGCGATGACTCCCTAAGACAAGAAGCATTCCAAGAAGGGTGCATACAGCCTTGAGAATGTGCTACTTTGTGCATTGTCCTTCTCTGTAGTGTTCTACCAACAGATGTGCCACACTCTGCTCCTTCTGGTGTGCCTCTGCTGGAGTGTGCAAAAGCTCTAGGCCGCATGACCAACTTTGCGCTACATTAGATTACTGTATGTGTTAACCAGTGCTTTGCCACCAACCTGATGATATATCTCCAGCAATTCTTCTTTAAAGCTTAGCAACAAAGAGCTGTGTCCTTGCCAGGCTGGATACATTAGTGTGCCATGAGATGGCTGCTAATGTGGCATGCAAGGTGAATTACAGACCATTAAGGGCTCATGTAACCTCACGGCAATCATCCTGGAAGGAGGCTGCCCATTGGGCTTCTGTATGAGCCACTGTTCTCAGCTTTTCCAGTACAGAGGGATGCCCAGAACAGTGGCTTGTACAGTAAAACAGTGAGGATGAGCTCACCTGTAGAAAGGTCGTTTTATTTGTATATGCTCTTAAGAACAAACCTTTTGCAATGTATTATTTAAGTGTGCCTATTTTTTAAGGAAATAGCAAAAAAAAAAAAAGTATGCCTGTGCTGTTAAAAATTAAAGTGTCTTAACCAAAAAGCAGGGCAAAAAGCAAAGCAAATCAGTTTTTAACCTGCAGTTGATGGGTTGCTATTTAAATGTGAATACAGCAGTGACATGTTTAGAACAGCAGGACCTGTGGCGGTCCATCAGAATGTACCTATTCCTCAAGTGTCTAATTCAGCCCCAGCAGGGAGGGAAGAGTCAATTTAGAAAGTTTGAAACAAAAAGCAGCTTTTTGTGGCACAGATTGGCTGGCCCTTCCCCTAATCCTTGGACCATGTTTGCATTGGGGTGGGAGTGGAGTTTGCACTTGGAGAACAAAATAAAGCCACAGATGGATGAATGCATATCTTCATGATTGTCCATGCACTGCATGTAAATATAAAGAAAACCAGCCAGCCCTCCCACCAGAGGAATGCTGGGAAAGGGAAGACCAATGACTGGGCTGGCATATGATTTGCTGGTATGAATACCTAGCATGACAAATTCCAGAGCTGGGAATAATTGAGGTTCACTGGCAGCTGAGGGTTATGCTGTGGGTTCTCTCTTTATATCCAGGGTGAGGAATCTGCAGGTGTTACTGGACTCCAATTCCCATCAGCACCAGCCAGGACAATTAATTTCTAGGATGCTGTAGTCCTGGCAACATCTGGAGGTCATTTGTCTTGCTTTCTGTGATGTGTGTCTTTCTCCTAAGCAACACTGTGCCCTCTCTCTGCAAGCCCAGGTATGGGAAATCCTATCATTTGGGAAAGACCAGAAGTCTAGCTAGCTCTCCAGTGTTTAATCAACAAATTGGTTGAATTAATCAGTTGAGATCAATTCTGATTGACAAAAATCAGAAATTGGGGAGAAATTGCTGTAAAATTGGAGAGCAGTTATTTTCCCATAGGAAGAAATGTATATTAGGAGAAGCTCACACACAAAAAAGGCTGATGAATTCTCATGAGGACTTTTCTTTTAAAGCAACTCAAGCTGATTTGGAAATGTGGAAACTTGAACGAGGCTGCAGAACCGAAGAACAGAGAGAAACTCAAATTGACAAATTTGCTGGCACTCTACCCTCAGTTATAGGAAATTTATGAATATGGCATTGCTACAGAGGTTTGGATTTTTAGAGTGCAGAAAAAATAACGGTAGGGCTCTACCTCACCTTAGACTTATAGAATTGTAGAGTTAGAAGGGACCACAAGGGCCCCCTGGCCCAACTCCCTACAATGCAGGAATCTTTTGCCTGACCAGCCTCCCCTTTGTCCATATAGATATATAATCTGCAATACAGCAGTCTTACTAAAACTTGAATTTTGAACTGGTTTACAGCCACACACACAAGGGCAAACTGCAGGTGATATTAAATACGTCTTATCTAGCCTGCAAAATGGTGTATTTGTTTTTTGTTTCTTTAAAAAATGCAATTTGCCTCAGCAAGGGGTGATAATTAATGGAACCAGAGGCTGAATGAAGGGGAGACTGAACCCTCCCCAATGTAATTCAAACAGAAAGGACAATTATAACAACAGACAAAAATTAAAATATGAAAAACAAAACCATAAAATAGGCATGCAGAATGAGTAGTTGCACATGAGTTAGAATAGCAAAGTCTAAGTAAAGACTGTCAACTTCATCAGATTATCAAGTCTAGTTCCGGATTTGACAGGCTTGTGACAAGGATTGTATTGAAAGCAATGTTGTATATGTTGTAAAGAATTTCAAATCATATAAAAGGTGTCTGGAGAACCTAAAGGTAAAGGTAAAGGACCCCTGACAGTTAAGTCCAGTCGCGGACGACTCTGGGGTTGCAGCGCTCATCTCGCTTTACAGGCCGAGGGAGCCAACGTTTGTCTGCAGACAGTTTTTCCGGGTCATGTAGCCAGCATGACTAAGCCGCTTCTGGTGCAACGGAACACCGAAACCAGAGCAGCGCACAGAAATGTCGTTTACTTTCCCGCCGGAGCTGTACCTATTTATCTACTTGCACTTTGGGGCATGCTTTCAAACTGCTAGGTTGGCAGGAGATGGGACCGAGCAACGGGAGCTCACCCCGTCGCGGGGATTCGAACCGCCGACCTTCTGATCAGCAAGTCCTAGGCTCTGTGGTTTAGACCACAGCGCCACCATGTCCCTGGAGAACCTAGACCTTGTTAAAATCTCAAATTATGTGTGATTTTCTCCACTACATCTATATTCCAGAGTGAGTGGCATCAAACGCCCAGTGTCAGATTTTGGGCGGGTTTCCACTGAGTTGCAATTACTATTTGTGCTGCCAAGATAATCTATAAGACCCATTCTTTCTGACAATATATTTACATTGGTATCCACAAAAATAATCAATAACATTAGATTTTGGCAACAAACAATAGTTTCTTTAGTAACATCTATTATTTCTGTCAAAATCAAATTCCAAAAATCTTTCACAAATGGACATTCCTACCCTAAATGAAAATATGTACAAAGTTTATTGCAACCCCTCCAACAATTAGGTGATATAGAAGAAAACATTTTTTTACCTTTGCAAAGGAGTGTGATACCATCTGTGTAATAATTTTAAGAAAAAACGGAAACAGATCTTAAGGGTCACAATTCCCAAATTTTATTCCAATCCTTGGGAATACAGTCATACCTCGGGTTGAAGTAGCTTTGGGATAAGTATTTTCGGGTTGCGCGCTGCGGCGACCCGGAAGTAACGGAGTGTGTTACTTCCGGGTTTCGCTGCATGCGCATGTGCAGGTGGTCTAAATGACATCATGCACAGAAGCGGTGAATCGCAAACCACGCATGCGCAGACGTGGATTGCATTCGCTTCTGAATGTGGATGGGGCTCCAGAACGGACCCCGTTCACATCCAGAGGTACCACTGTAATTTGTGTGCCAGTATCTAGTTCCCATATCCATAGATCCATAAGCTAGAATACAATTTAGAAACTGATCATTCCACCTCCATTGTGCTTAATAAATTTTAAAACTGCCTTAAGAGTCTCAAAGCTTGTATTTTTAAATGTTCTTTTGTACTAAAAGTATGAATTTGATTAAAATCTAGTTTGTGTAAATGTTTGACAAAGTTAATGTTATCAGGTTAATAGATATTGGTTGATTATTCGTATATAAATCTTGTAATGTGTCTAAACCTTTGGATTCCCAGTGTTCAGATTGCCTTGCTGGAAAAAAATCTGGGTGGTACAATAATAGGATTAATGGAGACATAATAGGTGCAAATTTACATTGTCAGATTGTCCATATTTGGATAGTACAATTAGTAAATGGATTTGTTAAAGAGTTCAATTGATTTGGTTTAAGATCCTTAAATGCAAGAGCTTGTTAATGAGAGATGTTTGGAAAGTTTAATTTCAGTGTCTATTCTGTGTTGATTCAGTTCCCCTTTTATTATATATAATAATTGTCTCAGTTGAAATGCAGAGCAGTAGAAATATAAATTAGGTGTACTCCATTCATTGGATTTAGCTCTGCTTAATAAAAAAAGGATTTACCTTGGTCTAGGTTTTCGGTTTTCGAAAATAAAAGTCATTATTGTAAGTTGCCATGTTTTCAATCATTTATAAGGTTTGGAATAAAAATAGAAAGCAAGGTTAAAAACACCTTTTGAATTGTAGCTGCTCTACCCAAAGTTGAGAGATTTTTGGTTTTCCACATTTTTATTATATGTTCGTAATTGGATTATAGTTCATGTGAAATAATGTATGCATGTGTGAATTGCTAAATATTTGATTGATTTGGCACATGTTGTAATTTTAGACATATCATAAATTAATT